CACGTCACACATTATTGACACACTTCATTCAACAGACTAAGTTCTTTTTTCAAATAAATGGATGTTTGCCAAGGGATATTTTTTTCCCTGTGAGACGAAAGAAATTGTAACAACCCGAAAAAGGTATACAAGTAAAAAAATTTCTGTTCGCGCAAAACAAATTTCGTTTGGATTGGTTTCTGTTCACTAGTTTAGTGTGAAATTATGCAGAAAGTAATGATCAATTTTTTAAAAGCGAATATCCACAAGAAGGACGGGTCAAAGTGATAGTGCAAGAAACATCAACCGAGGTTCATCCAGTATACGAGCCCATGTCCATTCCTCAATCTGAAGCACATCGAGGATTTTCCAATGGCCATGTAGCGAGTAATGCCACCAAGGAGCTAGATGATCTCATGGCTTCACTCTCCGAGTTTAAAGTATGACTACATTTTTTTCAAATTTAAATATCTTGAGAGTGGGAAACCCTCACACTGCTTTGATTCATTTAAAATGAGACTCCTACCCATATACAACTCGGATTTGATCACTTATTTATTATCTTGAATCTTGTACGCAAGTGGGTCAAATTTATGCTCTTCATATCTAGATGTTTTAACGATATTCATTTTACATTTGAAGAACTAATTTTCGGACTGCTAAGAGCACTTTTCAGATGAAGATAAATTATTTATCAATGCTATTATTGTCAATTAAATCCAAATATTCCCCTAAATCGATCATTACATGTGCCGATTATTTATTATTCTACGAATATAAAAAAAAAACACTTCAAAAAAAGTCGAATTTATATTCAATTTCGAAATTAATTTTCCAAACAAGTGCTGTCACCTACAAAATTTAAATTCATTCATTAACTTTCGCCCCTAATGTTTACTACTTGATATTATTTATACAATAATGAAAATGTAGAATTGAAATAGGAATTCTTGGATGAAGAAAATTTGTAGCATTTTAAGACTCTTGACAGAGGCAAGCAACAAGTTTCCATGAGCATTGCAGTCATGGCAGTGTTCCGAAAAAAACAACCAATGATTTTCGTATTTAATAGTGTAGTCACTCCCACGCGTTTGTTAAGCCAACCGAGTTTATGTTTAAAATCGCTCCTCTGCCCATTCTTGGCTGGCGATGTTACCGAAATAACCGAAACTGTGAAGGCATCACAGACAAAATTGACGGAAAAATAAGAGGGGGAAATAAAAATGACAGAGTTGCGTGAGAAAACTGAACCAAGAGCTTTCAGTCAGTCTCGAAAGCTAGACGAGATCACTGAGGTGATGAAAACCAATGGAACTTATAAATAAATTTATCGATTATATAATATTTTCAAGAGGAAATATCTTAATGAAGTTAAATTACAAGCACTACTTTATCATTGAATTTGTATTACAGATCAACAGTGGAAGTCACCAACTACAAACAGTGACAGACTCACCTTACGCAAAGCCTAACAAAGCGACGAAGAGTAGTCCAAGTCCATTACCTCAAGAGTCAAGTGCGGCCCAGGCACGAGTTCACATTACAGAGACCCACACGTCCCATCAATATCAACCCCAACAAGGCGAAAGTAGTCATACCGTTATTAATATCAAACAGAACCAGTTGGATTCTATGCTTGGTAATCTCCAGGCAGATATGAGTCGACAGGGTGTTACGACAACACAGAAGGGATGCTGCAGTGCTTGCGAAAAGCCCATTGTTGGACAAGTTATAACTGCCCTTGGAAAAACATGGCACCCTGAACATTTTACTTGTACTCATTGTCGTGAAGAATTGGGGACCAGGAATTTTTTTGAAAGAGAGAATCATCCTTATTGTGAGAATGATTATCATAATTTGTTTTCACCGAGATGTGCTTATTGCAATGGACCAATTTTGGATGTAAGGAACAAACTATTACAATTTATGGAAAAATTAATCATATTAATGATTAAAAATCAGTATTGATTTATCTGGATGATGAGTGATAAAAACATAAAACAATTACTCACTGGTTTTGCTGTTCGAAATTGATCTCCAAGCAAAACTCTTACCATTCAACCTAAAACACTCGATCACAGAAAATCAATAGAATTGAAATCTAGAATGAAACCTGTTTAAGCTAATTCTTGGAAATGTTGACATATTTTTTTGGGATTTTAGAAATGTGTGACAGCATTGGAGAAGACTTGGCACACTGAACATTTCTTTTGCGC